TACTTTCAAAATGGTATATGTGCATGTCTTCGAGAATAATATTTTGGTGGTTAGAATATTAATCTGGAATGAAATATGATTCACATTTTAAGGTTTAATGTTTGCCAGAGTGATTCAGTTATGGTCTGTTGATGATCTGGACTACCCTAGCTTACATGTTGAACAACTTATATGTTTTTGCTGTTGATCTCTTTGAATGCTCTTGTACTTCAATACTTGTGAAACATATGGAACATATTTAAGTTATTTGCTGTAACATCATCTGGTCATCCAGTTATAGCTGCACATGCAATATTTCAGTGTTTCCAGTCTAAAAGGAGCTTAGTTAATCTAATTTTGTCGCAGTTGTAATCTTTTCCTTGATTTGGTTATATCTATATTTGATGAGATTAAGTATTTGTTTCTCGCAGCTAATCAATCCTGCTGAAACTTTTGGCGACATTGTCATTGATTATCCGTAAGATGTCTCTTCTTCTTCTTCTTCTTCTTCTTCTTCATGTCTATATACAACAGACTTGATGTGTTTCGGCACAAATCATTTAAATTAACTGGAAATCTGTTATTTGATATTTCATTTCTGCCTAGCTTGAACATTCTACTTCCTATTAGCAGATAAAAGTTTTCGGACTAAAGTAAGAGTAACTAGATGTGGTAGCTAGTTTTGTGGACAAAGATCTCTCTCTACATTTGCCTTTTCTAAATTTACTGTGACATTGTAGAGTGAAAGAAACAAGAGCATCTGTTTACGTTTGATGTGTATAGAGCATATATGTAGAAGGGTTTCTTTCTTTTACTCTCCAACTCCACAATAAAAATGCAAAAGTGAATGTAGTGGATTCATTTCCTAAAAGTTCTTGCATAATATTCCGGATATAGAATACCGATAAAGTTGATTTGAGTCACTGCCTTCCATATATCATGAATTCAATTTGAACTGCATTTTACAGCTATGTTGAGTGCACTTCGGCTGCTATTCAAGCACTAACAGCATTTAAGAAATTATACCCTGGGCATCGCAAAGTAGAAGTTGAGCGCTGCATAGAGAAAGGTGCAAAATTCATTGAAAAAATTCAAGCAGCCGATGGCTCCTGGTCAGTTTGACTCTTTCATGTGTAGCTTCTTCTTAATACTTGTGGCATAATAAGTATCACCAGATGACCATGCAGTTGTATACCATCATTTATTCCTCAAATTTGTGTTTTCAACATGTGGCTCTACTCAACTAACCTGTCAAGTTCTTTGCATGCTTGTGCTTGATTTTTATGTAGTCTGGCAATCTACAACATTATTAATTACTGAAACTTCGTGACAGGTATGGTTCTTGGGCAGTTTGCTTCACTTATGGAACATGGTTTGGGGTAAAAGGCCTGGTGGCAGCTGGTCGAACTTTTAATAATTGCTCTGCCATTGGCAAGGCTTGCGATTTTCTGTTGTCTAAACAACTCCCCTGTGGCGGCTGGGGAGAGAGTTACCTTTCATGTCAAAACAAGGTTGAGAAATTTTTAAACTATTTGTTTTTTCATTCTTATGTGGTGATATGTGAATGCACAACCAGTATTTTGCAAAACGTGTACACATATAAACATAGTTACACAGACATATATTAATTGTAAACCATGATTATTACCGGAAGCCCGAAGGTCATAATAAACAACATTGGTAGTTTCTGTTGAAGGACAAATGTTTTAGCTGCAGTTCTTGAATGTTCAATGTTAATACTAGAAATGAGTTGAGCTGATTGGCTATGAGTTCAAGTCTTATCATCTTCATGATATGCTTCACACGTATGCATGGGTTATATGGAGACTGTGGAAATGTTTTTAGACATCACGTAATCTTCACCTGCATGCATTAGCTCGCGATTATGACTCATCATTGGAGAAATTATATTACATTATACTAGTTTTCGACTTAAATAATTCTACTCTTGTTTTGCTCTGTGTTTGATTGTGTACTTTCTGATGCATATGATATTTAAAATCCTGTAAATTCTATGGTTTATGCTATGTGCTAAGTTCCAAGGTTTGACTATGTCCCTAGAATCAGTATGTATTCTTTACTGCTTTTTGTGAACATGATGTTCCAATTGCCTGTTTCCTATAACCATTTTTTTTTTATTTTTTATTTTTATTTTTTTTCACTACGTGAACACTAAGGGTGGGGATCTTTTTTCTTCAATATCGATTGTGGAGAAACTCTTGCTGAGGACTGATACACAACTTCGATTGGATAATCCTGCGTGACATTTTCTTTTGAGAATGTTATGATGGGTGATGCACACATTTAAGAATTAGAAAAGCTTGCTTTGAGACTAGCTGATAACAAGGGAAAACTCTTAGAGAATATATCTTTTGGATATCGAGTGTTCAATTACAATCTTGTCTAACTCCGTTTAATTTGAAGTAAATTTTGTTTATCTTCCCTTAACTTCAATGTCATTTGGAAACCTGATATGTCCTTACTGATATTGTTTGGTATAGTTATTAATTTGATCAAATACTAAAATAATGCTCTCTCTTCAGGTGTATAGTAATTTAGACGTGAGCAGGTCTCATGTGGTAAATACAGGATGGGCTATGCTGGCTCTCATTGACGCTGGGCAGGTAATTTTTTTTTACCTATTACTATAACCACAGTAATTTAAGTATCGCGTTCCTGTTGCTGTTTAGTTTTCTTTCAACTTTCGATATATGAGAAATAATGTCTATTAGAACACCTGCAATTGTAAAATAACATAGATAAGTTTATCCAAAACTGATTGATGGGATTACGAGTTAAGGAGCAGATTCAAGTTCTCCCTTTCATTTTATCCATTGAACACAAATGCATATTTTCCTTTGTCTGTTGCTATCATGCAGGCTGAGAGAGATCCCTTGCCATTGCACAGAGCAGCCAAAGTCCTAATAAATTCGCAGTGTGAAAATGGTGACTTTCCACAACAGGTAAGTATGTTTCCGTCGTAAATTTAAAAGCTGAACATATATTTGTTTCTTTCTGAACGATAAGTGCATCGATTTATGGTAACACTTGCAAAGAAGTTAACCACAGGAAATCAAATCAATCATATCGAGGTTGTTCACCAAAAGCCACTATAACAAAGTATAATGTGAATATTTTCTTGATGATTTTTTTTTTGCGGTACAAAATTGCTTCAGGGTTTTATCTTTATTAGGCATGTCCATCATCTGAGACACTGCAACCAGTGTTTTAAGATTATTGTTAAAAAGAGGTAAATGTTCAAAAACACCATCATCACTGACAACTAATGTCTTGGGCCTTGTTAGGAAATAATGGGGGTCTTCAACAAGAATTGCATGATCACATATGCTGCATATAGGAATATATTCCCTATTTGGGCTCTTGGAGAATACCGTTCCCGGGTTCTACAAGCCCAATTAAGTCAGCTGCGTTAGTTTTAGACGTTTCCTTGTAATGGGCTGGAAAGTTCGATTAGTTTGTCTTGTAGCTCATCTATAATCTATTTGTTTTAAGTTCCAACACGTACAAACTAAGCGTTGGTGTTGTTTGGATTTATTTATTTATTTATTTATTTATTTATTTTTATTTCTGTTTTTTGTTATGGTCACGGTATTTCCTCACAATAACTTGTTCTGAGTCCAATTTGATATGCGTACACATGAGGCACATAATTCAATTCGATTCAGTATAACGATTTTACTGTTTTGCTGCCTTTATAAGAAAATGTAAGCACGAGAACTTTTATTCATAGTGCGTTTATGCTTATAGGAGGGGATAAAACAAATTTGACCGAGTGTCTTCCTCGACGGGTCGACTTTTTATTATTATTTTTTTAGAAAGGACTTTCGAATAAGTCAATATATTTTAATCAATACGAAATAAATGTAACTTGCAACGTTGTTCGCGCACAAGTACACTACTCTGATAGACCATTTATAATGTTTATGAATTCAAGATTTGAACATAACAGCAAAGTACATGAGACAAAAGTCACGGCAAAAAATTACGATCATATGATAATTTACCTAAATTAGGGGTAAAGAGAGATTGCAATTTGCAATAATGTGGTGGGCAAAAGTGGGTTGGGTTCTTTAGAAACTTTGACCAATTAAATCCTCTATAATAATAATAAGGTGGAAATGTTATTTAGAAGGATTTTTGAAACAACAGTAATGGGTAGATCACCAACATATTCATCACCCCGTTAACGGTAAATGAACAGTGAAAAGTCTTGCATTATGAGTTTACTAGCTATTGACTTTGAACATATTAATTTGGTGGATTTGCACAACTTATAATGAATATGTGTTTCTTAGATTGAATACAAATATATTCGTTCAAAATGTATTTTTTTTTTTTTTTTTGATCAAGGTTGATTTTGAAAAAAATAGTTTGTTAGTTGTTAATAAAATTCTGAGTTTATATCAAAATAATATTTAATAAAACAAATAAAATTAATCTGATGTAAAAGTAATAGAGATATGATGTGAAGTGATGATTAGTCAAAATTATTGGTGTGGATGAATAATGAATTAAAGTTAATGTGATTGTGTAAGAATGATTGATATTATAGAGTATGTATTGATTATGAATTAAGTTCATTTTTAAGCAAACACACCCTTTAAATTTACTGCAATTTTAGTTCGTAAATATGTGTATCATGTACATGTAAATAAATACGTCTTTTGCACTCCTTTTTTTTGGAATTTACTGCAATTTCGGTTCGTAAATATGTGTATCATGTACATATAAATAAATACGTCGTATGTTTTTAATTCATTGAAACAAATTAAGAATCCATAATTACATTGTCAAAGAATTAATGAAACAAAGTAAGAAAATTCGTCATACTAGCAGTAGTAGTAATACTAATAATAATTATTATTATTAAAATAAGAATACTCTATATGACTTGAATCTCAAATATTATTTGTGCACATTTTAATATTCCAATCCCCAATTTTGAATTCCGGGGTCTGCTTAAATTGGTCATCGAAGCACTAATTTTGAGCCTAAAAGAAAAAAAATAAAAATAAAAGTGAAATACATTTGCAAAATTAGTTCAGGTAAACCATGAAAATGTTCTTTATAGCGCTAGATTCATCATTCATTAATCATTACATAGCATTATGTAATTATTTCATCATTATGTAATTATTTTCATCCCTTATTGAATACAATCTTCACCAACGAACAGCTACAATATATATGATTGTGGATTATAAACCACTCGAAATCCATGAACTCCTATCACAGGTAAAACGTGGAACAAATAAACAATTACTCTGGGCATTGGTATTTCAAAACTTTTTGGCTCACCATTCAATAAATGACAAATAAAATAAAGTTTTTGTCGTGATGAATAGCCTAACCCGGTTGACGAAATTCCAGCAGATAGCTTTAACATTTGACTTTCTTAATTACGGTTGATAGTATTAAGAAAACAATGTCAATTTAGGAAAACAAAAAAGAGCTCGTTTAGTTTGTTAGAGCACAGTCACCACTGTTTGATTATTATCCTTCCTATTTTTATTATTTGTCATTCTAGCTTAATTGATCATTTGTTAAATAAATGTCGTTTTGACTATTTTGTACATATTTTTTCATTATTACCCTCATCTAACTAATAAATACACTACTCTTTTCATATCCACTCTCCATATTTTCTCAAAACATTCATCTCTATCCTCATTAATGAGGGTTATTATTGGTAAAAAAAATATTCTTAATTATTGTGCAATTTCTCAAAACGACATTTATTAAAATAGGAGGGAGTAATTAAGATTTGACATAATGAGAAATGCTATAGATACATAATATTGTACATAAAGATATACATAACACTCACATTAAGTGGGTCCTATCAAAAATAAAAAATCAAGTGGACCCCACTCCATGTGAGTGTTATGTAGACTTCTATGTACATTTATTATGTACTTGTAGTATTTTTCTGACAAATAATCAAATATTAAAATTAAATTTTCCTGAAATAATTTGCAAAAAGTAAATTTAAGAGTGTTTGGTAGACAAATAAGCTAGCTTATAGCTTATTTGGTTAGCTTATAAGCTCTCTGTTTTCAAATAAGTTCCATTTGGTAGGACGAACATTTTTAAAAAGCTTGAGCTTATTTGATAAGCTTCTTTAGGTAACTTTTCAAATAAGATCGTTGAATTTTTTATTTCAGCTAGCTTATCAGCTAATTTTACCAAACACTTTTATCATATAAGCTAGCTCTTCAGCTATAAGCCATAAGCTATAAGCTATAAGCTATAAACTCAAAAGTTATTGATAAGCTATAAGCTATAAGCTAACCGTATGTTCAGAAATTAAAAAGTTGTGGTAAAAACTATAAATACTAATTCAAGGGAGGTGAACATACTGTACCTTAATTATGATCTAACTACTAATGGTGCTTATAAATATTAGATGCCTACCGCGATAATTTGGTTTGTACATGTTGTTGGGATATTTGGCCCAAACCCAATATCTATCTCAGGCCCAAAGAAGCCCCAACCCAAATTCCCGTTGGATTCTGGGTCTGGCCCTCACACGCTCTCAAGTGGCAGGATATCTCTTGACCGTTGGATTTAGGAATTAAACCCAACCATCCATCTGAGCCTTAAATATCCTCTAACACNGATCGATCTTTTTCTCTCTCTCTCTCTATCTATTCTTCGTGACCTTTCAGACTGTGTTAGACAAGATAAGCAGGATTAAGAGAGTTGGGACTCGATATATTATTTCCCCTATGCACAACAGCCGATCGGCTATAACTAAATTTTTATAAAAATCATGTGAGTTTTATATATCTCGTATTTCTCAATCGTCTACCACATTACATCAAGAATATTTATGAATATTAGCAAAGGCTAATTATTAAAGATTGGATCGTCAATTCAACACTACAAAAAAATTGTTATATTCCAACGGAAAATTCTATGGTAATATATTCCAATAAAAATTCCAACGGATATTCCAATGGTATAGCTACCGTTGGAATGATTCCTACAGAAATTCCAACGAAAATATTCCGTTGAAATGTATTTTTCATTGAAATTTTAGATGGAATTTGATGATTCCAACGGCTATATTTCCAACGGCTTTTGACCGTAAGAATTTCCATTGGAATATGCAATTTTCGTTGAAATTTTTATTTCCACTACTGTTGAAATCGTCAAAATCCAACAGAAATTCCAATGGAAAACTCATTCCAATGGAATATTTTTGTTGGAATTTCCGTTAGAATAATTCCAACGGAAATAATAGCATTGAAATATCCATTGGAATTATCGTTGGAATTCTATTGGAATATATTTCCGTCGGAGTTTCATTATTTTTTTGTAGTGCAACAGTATATTGCTGAAGTACTAACATGTAGTTTTTCCAATTTAGAATGTAAACCAATAATTTTTTTGTTACCATAATATTGAAGTTGAAATCATGCTAACTTTTTCTCACGTGGAATGTGGGATTCGATTATAATAATTTATTTTTTTTCCGGTACAAAGATTTGATTATAATAATTAACTTGTCATATGATTCATCATTCATGCGATGACGCGTTCCACAGCATCTTAAACTATTATTTTAGTAAAAAGTAAAAACAACAGGTTACAACCTAAATCACATACTTCAACTTTTTTCCGTTAGATAACTGCAAGTGTCCCGTGTCCTTATATATAGAGGTGGCCATTCAACGGGTCCGGGCGCGGCCCGGCCCGGCCCGGCCCGGCCTGGCCCGCCGGGTCGACGGTCTGCCTGGCCGAGGCCCGGAACCGAACCGGACCAAGGGGCGGTCCGGGACCGGTTCTGAGCCCAAACCCGCCGGTTCATCGACTCGGCGGGCCAAAAATAAAAAAAAAATAAAATATTACAACACAGTTGCCGGCGGTCGACCCGTGAACCGGCCCGGCCCGGACCGGAACCGCCGGTGCAAAAAAAAAAAGCAGTGACCCTGGACTGAACCGTGACCCTTACGGTTCGGTCCAACGGACCGGCCCGAATATGGCCGGTTACGGGCCGGTTCGATACCGGTTCACGGTCCGGGCCACGGGCCGGTTCGGCCCGTGGCCATGTCTACTTATATATTTCCAGTTTCTCAATTCACGAAATAAGAAAGTGGTTTTACGTTATCGAATTTGGGAAGCATTCACACTCATGCACCTTCTAAATGCAACTACCAACAAAATGTGCGCTGTGTTGCACCAAAAAAACAAAAAGTAATTCGTTACCAATCCGTGTGAGCTCACATTTTGACTTAATTAAGCCACCAAAATAGGACTTCATGTAATAAAGCCACGAAACTCCACTTAATTTACTAATATTTTTAGCATGCCCAGATTGACGTTTGGCACTGGCGTCCCGTTGATAATATTCGTGATATTTTCTATTTAATTACCATTTCAACTGGAGGATCAACCCACATTAATTAATTAAATCCTCAAATTGAATTATTTGATTAAAGAGAAAAAACATGCTATGTTTTTTTAATTCAAAACAATAATTTTGAAAATGATACTAACCACTCAATTAATTATATCTTCAAATTGAATTACTTGATGAAAAGATGATGAGTTTTCTTTATTCGAACCACTAGTTTCGAAATTGTTAATTACTGAGGATTTTAGAAAGTGAGAATTAATTAATTAAATCCTCAAATTGAATTATTTGATAAAAACGCTATATATGTTTTCTTAATTCAAAAACACTAATTTTGAAAATGATACCTCAGTATTTTGTTTAAGGGAGATTTAAGGATTAGGTGAAACTAGCAAATATACTATACATACATGCATACATACATTTAAATTACGTTAGCTCCTACACATGAGAATATCATAAGACAAAAACATAATTCAATTTCCTTTTTTTTATTATTCTAAATATGACTTGTATATAATATATTTAATTCAATTTCCTTGACTTGTAACATATCATATTACATTTACGCATCATCCGTATGTGCACATACACCTAACATCCAGGTATGAACGGGTGCGGGTCTATTATCATGGCGCACTATGAAAGGGGAAAAGCCCATATGAAGCCCAAGTGGGGTTCCATTCCAAAACCAATTGGTGGAAGGAGGAGTAGCCCATTAGTCTTATAAGGTGAGTCTATTTTCCATGTATGAACGATGTGGGACAACTCACAAGTGATATTCTAACACGCCCCCTCACTTGTGAGTCATTCGAAAACTCAAACCCTGAGAAAACGGGTACGTCATCACACGGTCCCACATAGAACCGACTCTGATACCATGTGAGAATCTGAGAAAAATATATGATGTATTATTCACAATAAGGAGTACACATATATATAGATACATATATGAGCTTTAGCATAAATTGGACCTAAACCTAGCCTATAGTACAATGTTAATATTTAGTATTTACATATCTAACACCCATCACACAAAACCAAAAATAAATAAATAAATAAATAAATCTGAAGCCCGACGACATTTTTAAATTTATCCACCCATCTCCCACTATACCTCATGCCTTTAACCTCTATAAATATCCTCCCTAACCAAANCCCTCCTCACTCTCTTCGTCCTCCTCATCTCTCTCTCCCTCCACTTCCTCTTCCAAAACCCCTCTTCGGGCCCGGGCCCACTCCCTCCGGGCCGGGCCGGCTGGCCCGTCCTCGGCGAGAGCCTGGACTTCCTCTCGACAGGCTGGCGCGGCCACCCCGAAAAATTCATCTTGGACCGAATCTCCCGATACTCCTCCCTCGTCTTCCGCACCCACCTCCTCGGCGAACGGGCCGCCGTCTTCTGCGGGCCCACGGCCCACAAATTCCTCTTCTCCAACGAGAACAAACTCGTCCAATCATGGTGGCCCGCTTCAGTCGACAAAGTCTTCCCATCCTCCTCCTCCCAATCCTCCTCCAAAGAAGAAGCCATCAAGATGCGCAAGATGCTCCCCAATTTCCTAAAACCGGAAGCCCTCCAGCGCTACGTGGGTGTAATGGACCGCACCGCGGAGAAACATTTCTCCGCGGGGTGGGAGAATAATGATACCGTGCTCGTTTTCCCTCTCGCGAAGAGCTACACGTTCTGGCTGGCGTGCAGGCTTTTCCTGAGCATGGAGGATTCGAGCAGCGTGGAACGGTTTGCCGAGCCGTTTAACGAGCTGGCGTCGGGACTCATCTCGGTCCCCGTGGATTTGCCCGGGACGCCGTTTAATCGGGCTATTAGGGCGTCGAATTTTATTCGGAAGGAGCTTGTGAAGATTATTGGGCAGAGGAAGAGGGATTTGGCCGAGGGGAAGGCGTCCGCCACGCAGGATATACTTTCGCACATGCTGCTGACGTGTGATGAGAATGGGAAGTTTATGGGGGAGCTTGATGTAGCGGATAAGATCCTGGGGTTGTTGATTGGGGGACATGATACGGCCAGCTCCGCGTGTGCGTTTGTCGTCAAGTATCTGGCGGAGCTGCCGGAGGTTTACCAAGGGGTTTATAGAGGTAAGTTTCAAATATCGTGCATTTTTTAAAATCAACAAGTAATTGATTTACCATATGGAATGACATAAATAATATGAATCAATAATGTCTCAATTTAAAATTGTCAATGTGAATTCTATTTGATCGAACAATAAAAATAAAATGACAAGTTTACGAATTAGAATAAGATCATGTACACATATATTGATTTGTTAGTTATTCTAGAATAAATTTGAGCAAAATAAATTTACCATAAGTTAAATAAATATAAAATAGGCTAAAAAATATTTTTTATTACTGTATATTTAAAATACACAAAAAATTAAGATTGAGCTAGTAGCCTAGTACGTACCCGGGTGAACGTACCTTGGCTAGGCCATTGGTAGTTAAGCCTGCAGGTACATTTACTTATTTAGCCTTGAATTTTGTACCTGACTACCTGAGTGGTGGCTTACGACTCACTAGTCAAATTTCACTATTCATTCATGCCTTAATTAATTTCCCTTTCCAAAAGAAATCTTCATGCAACCATGCAAGTGCTGATATAGGCGCTACAAAGGGACCTTCTTGTATTTATCTACCCACTATTGTTGTTAATAACTAATTAGTCATTCAGTATATAAACAAAAAATAATTAATGTTCATATGTAAAATTTGCTAATAGATAAAAGTTAATTATATGCTAAACATAGTTGAAAATTTTTGCTGCCCAAAACTATGCCAATTATAGTAACAAAGGTTGTTTCATTATATAGATACAGATTGGATGGCCATAATAAGAAATCTATATAATTAATAATTTGCAAAAAGGAAGTGGTGTTTATTTATTGTGTTAATAATAATGTGTGCAGAGCAAATGGATATTGCTAACTCAAAGAAGGCTGGTGAGGTGTTGAATTGGGATGACATTCAGAAGATGAAATACTCGTGGAATGTGGCTTGTGAAGTGCTGAGGCTGGCGCCACCACTCCAGGGCGCTTTTAGAGAGGCCCTCACTGATTTCATGTTCAATGGTTTCTCCATCCCCAAGGGCTGGAAGGTAATTTCACTCACAATTATATATTAACTTAGTTTTGAAAATTGAATCGGTCATCGAAAGGCGAACTTATCGCGGTTCAAATGGTTCACAATCGGACCAGTGTTTGAACCTGTCGAACCGGTTTAATGAATATTCAATTTTTATTTATTTCATATGTATAATATATAAATATATATATTTTATCATTAATTTTATAGTGTATGACATTTCTGTAAATAAGAGTTCAATAATAGATCAACCGACAATGTTGAATAATGTTGATCACTTTTATTTTATTTTTTATTTTTTTTATATTTAAAATTATAATTTATATTTAAGTTACAAAATAGAGAGAATAGAAACAACTCTATTTTAATTTTTAAATCAAATTTTAAGTTTTTTATTATTGATTAAAAATAAAAAATAAAAATTATGTGCATAACAAATAACAATAAATTGCTTCTTTCTTCTTCAATAAATGGAAAATAGATATAGCTCAACATAAAAAATAGCACAATTTTCTTTTAATGAGTACAATTTTATTTGTAAGGCCCGATATTGGCCCAATAATTTCAACAAGGGCCTTTATTTGTGAACATGTCCCACATTAGAAACACTAGTTCAAATGATATGCTATATAAATGACTTCACAATCAACTCTTCTCAAGTTTAAAAGTCAGAACCGTTGAACCGTTAAAACCCCTCCTGGTTCACTGATTCCTCTGATTCTGGACCGGTTCGAACGGTTCTTGAGCGGTTCGCATGCCTGCCGATTGTATGCTCCGGTTTTAAAACAATGCTTATTAATTTCTATTATTTTCCTTGAATTTCACACTTCTACATATGGTTAACTTGCAAAACTATCACACTAGCTTTACTAAAATAGAAGCTAACCATACTCTGTATATACACAGGCTATGGTCAGCCTACTCAAATAATATTTATTTAGTCACTTTGATCCAATAACTATAAGTTTGGAGTAAAATATATACTTTCACACTGAAATATCATTGTATTAATTAGTTATTTACGTTGTTTGATGCAGATATATTGGAGTGCGAATTCCACGCATAGGAACCCGGATTGCTTTCCGGATCCGTTAAAGTTTGACCCATCGAGATTCGAAGGGTCCGGGCCTGCTCCATACACGTTCGTCCCATTCGGAGGAGGCCCGAGAATGTGCCCTGGAAAAGAGTATGCAAGGATGGAAATCCTTGTGTTCATGCACCATCTTGTGAAGAGGTTCAGGTGGGAAAAAATCATACCTGACGAGAAGATTGTTGTGAATCCAATGCCGATACCTGCTAAGGGCTTGCCCGTTCGCCTCTACCCTCACAAAGCTTAATCGAAGAACCTCGTGATTCATGATCAATGTCCTTTATTTTTTAATAATGTTGCTAAAATAAAAAACAATATTCTTCTTTATTAGGTCTTTCATACATTTTGCAATAACTTGTTATATTTCCATTATATTTTTAATTTTTCTTCTTTGTTTCTATAGTTTACTATGTACTCTGGATGATCAGATGAATTGCTGTTGTTTGATCTTTGTTTTATGAAATGTATAATAAATATGTTTGTTGTGGGAATAATGCACTAAAGTTGATCCCTTGCGGCGGAGCTATCTTTATGCTAAACTGTATAATAAATTTAATTTTGGCTATGGATATCGACATATCAACTTATACGATAAACTTCTCCATTTACATCTATGAGTATTGTTTATAAGTGATGAAAATTATTACATGCGAGGGGAAATCGATACTTCCATTTCCCTGTTTGTGTGGCGTGAGAAAATCGAGTGTGTTATTTTGAGGAAGACAAAGAAATACAAAAAAATTGTTGTAACCTCTCGATAAATGATAATCTATTCATTCATTCAAATATTATTCATTCAAACATTACAAAAACTTTTGTCCCTCCTAATGATCATTCATTGATCTAAACGCGCTAAGGTTAATAAATATTATAAGTAGGCCATAGATTATAAATCTCCCATCATTTTTAGATTTCTCGTGCGCCCAACTTTTTGGGCTGTTGACCTATTGCACTAGAAGCTTTTTAATGAAAAATGTGTGGGTTCTATTAAGAACTATCTGAATCTAACAAATTAAATATTAACGAATCGGAATATATAGTTAGGATTGGGCTTATGTTTTAAAAACTTTTACCGACTCTGAGACGTTTCTGATTTCCGCTGTTGGAGATCGTCTGAAACTCAGAGTCCGTTGGGTAACCGGACTATCTTCGAGATTGCTGAATCGGACCTCGGGATCACCGGGTCGCTCTTGGTCTGGGTGCAGTTGTGTCACTTGCACTGCATACGTCGTGCGCCGGCCTCACGCGGGATGCGCCGGAACCGGACGTCGCACGTCGGGTGCTGCAAACGAGCGTCGCGCGTCGGGTGCTGGTCTGCGATCGTCGCGCGTCGGGCGCTGCCGACAGGAATCGCGCACCAGGCGCTGAGTGCAGGCAATGCGCGTCGTGCACTACCGAGAACTTCGCGAGTCTGTGCGGGTCTGCCGAGGAGCTCGCGGGTCTGAGGTCTCGCCGGGGTTCTTGCATGTCTGTAGGTCGTCTGCGGTCAAAGCACCGTCGGGTGGGCGGGTCGCGAGGATGCTGTCGAGGACGTCGCGGGTCTGCACGTCGCCGGGAACAAAAAATCTCCGGGAACTCGCGGGTGGCCGAGGGCTGCTCCATTTATTCTCGGTCAAGAAAATAAATTCGTTGGGATGCGAAAAACTAAACCTTATAATCTTTTGATGTATTACCTCTACACCTACTTCGAGTAGTCTTGGTTGTACGACTAAACGATACTCCCGAAACCTCCTATTATATAAAACCCGATTTTTCTCTCTTATGGAAGACTTAAAAAATGGGGTGGCATTAGTATGTAGGAGATGTGGAAATTGGTGTACTTATAAGCTACAACAGAGACCTAAGAATGTGTTAAATATAGGTTTTTTCAAATAGGAATAGAAGACCTTATGTCTTTCAACTTGTTAACATTATAGGAAATCTCGGTTTTGCTGGAGTCATCGGATGGCTCGGTTTATGGAGCCATCCTTAGCTATCAACAAATAATGTATTGACACGTATCCTGCAATAAATACACATTGGACACGTGTCAATACATAAAGTTATGGATGCTCTATAAAGGAACCATCCGATGACTCCATAGAATTACTGTAGAAGACCTTATGTCTTTTACCTATTCCATATTCGAATAAATAATAAAATATTCTATTAAAGTAATATTATTGCACTTCTCATTTAGCTCTGAATTACTAATAATCGTTCCCGTTAAAATAATAGATTTAATTGGATCTCCAACTTTCAAAAATCCAACAACCAAATTTAAAATTCTTATCGTTGGCGGCTCTAGGCAGACTGATTCAGACCGGGACCCGAAACCTTACATATTAGAAAAAAGACCATTGATCTCCAATAGGGATGAAAACGATCGGGAACGATCGGCATAGGGCTCAACCATTTCCACTTTCATATTTTTTTCTCGAAAACGAAAATGATACGATAATGTCGGAAACGAAAACGACATCGGTATTCCGGTAATATCGAAAACGAAACTATCCGATCGAAAATATATCGATAACGATCGAAATATATTAAAACGGTATTTAAAAAACGATAAACACACCACATTATAAAATATAGCATTAAAACATAAATTGAAATATTCTCACGGCATAATAGTGGCAAAATCCAAATTAAAATCCACACCGTTTGCTATAACAAAATCCATACAAATTCCAATAACTAGCAATTGAATTGTGACTTGTCCATCAAATTCTCATGGAATAATAGTAGCAATTGAAATTTGAAACATGAAATGGTAGCATTTAGGTGAGAAATCAACCATGGAACCACCAAATCCACAAAAAAACCACAACAAACGAAATCCAGAATTCAAAACACAAATCACTATTGGCGTGAATTTAAAGTGGGGTAGGCGGCGGCAGTTGGAGCCTGTAGCGGGTGATGAGGTTGCGACGTTGATGGGAGTGGGGCGCGGCGGCGACGAGCAGGTGACGGGAGTGACGACGAGCAGGCGCGGCGAATTGCGATGGCCGTCGGCCGATGGAAGAGATGACAGGGTTGGGCTGAAGGGGATTTCAGGATTTCGAGAGTGAATACCGAAAGGGGTGAAGGAGATTTCAGGATTTGGGCACAGGGTTGGGCTGAAGGGGATTTGGGCATTTGGCCCATTTGGGATTTGGATTGGGCTTTATAATTAAAAGTGAGCCTAGTATGAGTTGGGCCGGTATTACCGACGGTAAAATACCGTTTCAATACGGTAATTTTCGAAAACGATCGGAAAAGGACTAAACCGTTTTCGTTTTCATTTTCGAATTTTTTTACCGTTTTCATTTCCGTTTTTCCGGTTACCGTTACCGTTTCCGTTTAGCCTCCAAATCCGAAAAAAAATTCGAAAACGATTCTCGGTAATCGGAAATTACCGTTTCCGTTTTCATCCCTAATCTCCAACAGTAAAAAATGATCAATGGTCCATATTTAAGCTATTG